CCTCCAGGTACATCCCCTGGACCGAAGAGAAGGGCGACATCACTTCCTGCGGTATCCCCGTTCCCTACAACGCGTCGAAGGAATGGGCCGACAAGAAGGTGGTCTTGTTCTCTGTTCCTGGTTTGTTTCTCTCAATTCACCAATCAATATAGCTAATCATTGGAACTAATTATGAAATATCATCATAGGTGCCTTCACCCCCACATGCTCCGTTAACCACTTGCCCGAATACATCCAGAAGCTGCCTCAGTTGAAGGAGAAGGGTGTTCAGGTCGTCGCTGTCGTCGCGATGAACGATCCCTTTGTCATGAGTGCCTGGGGTAAGGCTAACCAGGTTAAGAACGATGACATTGTATGTTACACGCGGTTTCATTTAGCGATGTCACAAAACCTTATGACTTCGGATTCTGACATTTGTAGCTGTTCCTCTCCGACCCCGACGCCAAGTTCTCCGACAGCATCGGCTGGGCCAGCGGTGGTCGCACTGGCCGCTATGCGATTGTGATCGATCATGGCAAGGTGACTTATGCGGACATTGAGACTGAGAGGGGCGTTGTTAAGGTGAGTTATTCTTTTCTCTAATAAAAGAAGTTGGTGGATTGTTTACTGACTACGGTGTCTAGGTGTCTGGTGCTGATGCTGTTCTGGCTCATCTGTGATTGTCTCCCGAGAATCTTTAATTCTAACTACATCCGATGAGAAGGGGATAGATATCTGGCTTCAGTTGACTATGGCTAGTTACACAGTTGACTTGATTTAGTGAGCGATACGCTGTACCTGGTACTACAGGCTAGTTACAAGGCAGGAAAGAGCGATATGAATTAATTATTTCAAATCGGATAACTCTATTCTTATCCATTGACCATACCACTGTAGTCTCTCTTTCCAATGCTAGTAATACATAATGAGCATGACACTAGGAAGGTGCGGAAGGGGCTATAGAGTCTCACTACAGGAATTTTACTCAAAGAAGTAGATATTCATGGACAACCACCTCTACTGCTGCCTAGGTAAGAAAACAATGAGAATACATAGAAGAGTGAATTGATTCAGAACCTGTTGTTCGTTAAACAGCCAATAAATCCATGGGCATGTGCTTTATATTAAGAATCTCTTCATCTCACAATGTTGTGTTTCTAACCAAATCTCAATTTCACGATCGAGAAGAAAAGATCAACCCGAGCAATGAAAACCTGCCATTATGGACCGGACTGAAAGTGCCTACACAACCTGCAGATGTCCGATCTCTCCTCGGCAAGGTATATCCTGGATGAAGGAGTTCCGCGCAAGTAAGGTCTCTTCCTGAGGCGAAGAACTTATTGCTGACTTCACCAGTATATTCCAGCTCTGCAGGGACCTTTGTGTCGAGGGTCGGTCAGCGTTCAATTCCATACGGCGGTAGATGGATAGCTCCGTCTGACTCTTCCATCCGATGGGATGGCCCTAAATACCGGCCGAGAGCAAGCGATGTGATCCCAGTCATGCAACAAAAACCAGTCAATGGTCAACATGGGTTTGTGCTTCATGATTCCCGCTGGCGGCTTCTTCAGTAGGCTTTCAAGCCTGACAATGTCCCCCTTGAACGGTTTCTGCAGGTGTGTCGACCACAGCCCATTCTTTCCAATCCAATGGCTGTGTGCTGGGGCCATAGTTATGCGTGCTCTTATCCCACGCGGCCTCCATGCGATTTCATTCTCAATAACTACTGGAGATAAGGCTGATTACCTCTCCGGATTGCCTTTTCTTTCACGCGATAATACAGACATCTGTCTAGGATATAAATCCTCATCCCGAGGCGCAATCTTTGTCAATACGAGACACGGCTCCATGGAAATCACAGTGCCTAAAGAAGGATTACACCTCAATGAAGCGTTCTTCACGGGAGCACCGCAACCCATTGCAGGGTTCCAACCGCTGTTTTGGACAAATTTCGGCGGTCACCGAGGCTGTCTCCTTGGATCCTTGGTGGCAATGAGAGCCGTCTACTCCTTGAACCTTTTGACGGGCTTCAACTTTCACTATGGAAAGTTGGATGTAGGAAATTGGGACACGCGATATTTACAGCCTTGCACTGGAACATTCAGCACAAATAGGGACGTATTTTGGATAGATGGCCCCAGCGGTGAACGCACTATAAATGTCCATATAAGTGGCATTATGTACGTCGACGAGCCCTCCAAGCTTCGTCTGTGCTCATTTTTCAAGGTCAGCATGACTATATTTCAGCATCCTACCACACTCTTACCGCCCGGTTCCTGACCTTGTTATTGACCGTTTAAATAGGTCACAACAAATTTTGGACGTTAAAAGTATTTCATGTGTAGCTATAAATTACAGCACATTAATAAGGAGATAACGCCGCTTTCTCGAGCCGTGGATGCCGGGGACTACTATTACAGGGTTTTATGAAAATTCGGTACGTAAAAGCATCTTGACAGTAACTATCGATCGGAACTGAGACGCATAGAAGACTCCCGGTCACAGACGTACTAGTCTAGGTGTGATCACTGAGGTACTCGCATAGGTACTAAAGACAGAGGCGCAGCAAATCAAATGAATAACTTCATCTCAGTACTACAAACTCCTAACTACCATCTCATCTCATCATTCCAAAGTAAGGTCCATGCATCTTAGTCAAGACATCAAATTCTCAGATCACCTATTTGCCCTTATACGCCTTAATCGCACGGTTAAAATCCTCGTCAACATCCCTAACGCACTCTGCAATTTTCTCCGCATCCTCACGGTTCACCTTTGCCTCCAACTCCCCAGAAAGCTTATGGCAGCTTTCCTGAAACTCCGAAATATGTTTCAGGATCTTCTTGGCAAGCTTTGCTTTCTTCATCTCGGGTTTCTAGGCATTAAATTAGTCTTAACGCCAGTATCTCGACCAGTAATAGGGGGGCTACACATACCGCAACCACGATATCATGGAGATAGGCCTGCCACAAAGGCTTCATTTGTATAACCACTTCCGTCACGGGTTCACTTTCTTTTGGATCAATGCGTGGCGTGGCCTTGACGGACTTCGATGACTTGATAAGGGCCAGCTGCACGTTGATATGACCAAGTTCGATGGCCGGCTTGTCTACAGAACCGGACTTTTCGCCCTTGTCGCCCTTGCCGCTCTTGTCTTTCTTGATCTTGACATCCAGATCGATAAGATGCTTACCGACTTTTGCGAAGTTTTTGATGACGGCAGGCACGCCGCCGCCTTCGACTTCGATGGGATCGGCGCTGGCGAGGTGGAGGAATAGGGCGATGAGGATGGTGAAGAATGGGTGGAAACGCATTTTGGGGTGTGATCTTCTTTTACTTTGGATAATGTATGTATGTGATTAGGGTAGAGGATGATAAAAAGAAGATTCAGGGAAGCTCAAGTGACGGGAGATGGCCGCCTTTATGTACCTCTTTCAGGAAGTGGAAAGTAATGTCTGATATGTGATTCCTGCGAAGTGCAGGCCTTCTCAATGCCAAGGTGGCATCCCACAAGGTGTAAGGATATCTAGAGTGGACTGGTGGTGTCTTTGAGGATTTCCTTGGTTAATGGTTTGACCTGTACTACATTCTCTTTGATGCGGTAGATATGCCAGTTACACAAAGTTTACTGTTTGTATAGATAGACCTTGAGTTCTTTCGAATAGATAGATCATCAGATGAGATCTTACCCTGGAGTCTCTCTATTCATTTTGTGTAATCTCATCACTTTGTGAATCCATCTGTCTCACGCAATTATGGCTGTTTTTGACATGAACTAAATTGTGGTTTCTCTCCCTACTTCATCAATATATTGAACTTACTCAAATGGCGCACAACTTTAACTCCGACAGCCACCTTCTTAGGTAGCCACAGAATTCGTGTTTCTCCGAACATGACTCCATAGCTTAGGGCCGGCATTGTGAAGGAAACCCTTCACCAATCTCCGACAGATAGAAAGACACCCGGCACTAAGTAGCAAAGTACTACAGAACAATTGGCAGTGACACAGATCGTGTGTACAAAACCGGACACTAATCACTATAGTTGGAACCAAGTTCTCGGAATCCCTTTTTGCCTGGTTCTATGCCGTTCGCGTGGTTTTAGCGAAAGCATACCTCGTGTTCTCCAGCATATTACTATGCGCCGGGGCCAAGCATTAGCCTTGAGGCCCTGCATGCCATTGTTTTATTTGGCATTGAGTTTAACTCTGAGCGAAATCTTAAAAGGAAACCCCCTTTGAAAGGCCAGCCCGTTTCTCTTTCTGTCCCATGATGAACAGAGAGCTAAGTCTGCTCATAGACGATGACGCAGCAGTCAAGCACGCGGGCATCAGCGATGCGGAGTTCTTATAAGTTTGGGTTAATTCGATTGGGCATGTCGTGTAGAGTCTAAGTATAGGTTGTATCATCCTAGACTGTACTAGGGCGTTCAAACAATTTACGTAGGTTCATGCGACCGATCGGACAGGCAAATACCTTGAAGCTTCTTCTCCTGTTCTCTTTGCCTCTCACGAAGCGAGTTGCCTGGAAATTTCTAATATCATACGTAACTCCTTGCGTTCCAGTTATCCCGGCCGTGGCCATGCGTTGCTCTCCCTGTTTGATAAGGATGCATGTCGTACCATCTTCGAGGCTATTGGGCATGCACGGTGCACGAAGTTTCTCCGAACCTCCTACTAATAGCTCCTCTCCGGGGGGATACTCTTGGTGTTCTTCCCTAAGCTCAAGATTGACCGATCTGCTAATAGTATCTCGCTTAATTCCAACTGAGTGATTAAGTTGCTAGCAAGTTGGCAATGCTGACGCATGGAAATGAAGAGTAATTGAGATAATTTTTCTGACCTGATGATTGCAGTCAGCTAATTGTTTTTATTTTCTTACTATCTTATATCCTCTTCTTTCAACTATACTTCCTTGGGAGTTATTGCTCATGGCCGTCGACAATTTTTCGAGTATCAAACGCTTATCGTGGAAGCCTTGGCTTCTGAAATAAATAAATACAAAGCGCATCAGACAACCATTGGTTGTGTAGTGTAATGGTTAGCACTCGAGATTCTGATTCTCGCAATCCCGGTTCGATCCCGGGCACGACCTGATATACGTTTTTGACCTTTTTCTTCATTCCCACTGTGGATGTTCCTTTTACTTTAATATTACTGTGTATGGTGTGAATAGTGGCTTGGATGATTTTTTGTCGGCGGCCAGTGGCTAAAATCTAGCTATAATTGAACCTGCTTAGCTTTGCAGCTAGTTGAAGACATAGGGTTAGTACAGTACGTATCTACCATGGATCAGTTCATCGCTTGATTTTTGTTCGAGCCAGCTATAGATCTCATTCCCCTGAGCTATACTGCTTAGTACTAGGTAGGTTTTGACTGGCAACTTTCAACTTTCTCCAATTTTGTGACGGCCAGCCCATGATTACTGAACTTATTAATGTCAAATAGTCTCCGATCGGGATGATTATCTGCCGATGGGACGGAAACTCGTGGGGCTCTCCGCTCGATAAGATTAGCGTCTGATTATAGTATCTCGAGGCGGGATCTCATTGGTTGTCCTTGCTATTCTTCACGTTTCTTATTCTCCGTGTGCTTGCTCTGGGACTCATTCCCCATTTGCGTATGTAGAATTCTTCGATCTAAGGGCGGCACCCCGTATTTTGTCTAGAGGGTTTGTTGTAAGGGCGTCACACAAGAAATTCTAAGAAGGAGTTAGAAAGAAACCATAAAATTAAACAGAAAGTATCTCAAGGGATCCCTAGGTAAGGCCTCGGGTGATGTCATTCATCTTCATAGCCCCACTGTGCCCTATATAAAGTCGATCTGGGCCCTCATTCTGAATGTTCACAAGTCAGTGCAGAGAAAATCACACAACTCAATCATTCTGATAAAATGGCTCCCAAGGTGCTCGTCGTCCTTACCTCCCAGTCCCAGATTCCGGGCCACAACCACCCCACCGGATGGTACCTTGTACGTATTATCCCACCATAGCTATCATCTGCCGAACACGTCTGACGAAAATAAAGCCCGAGTTCGCACACCCATGGGAAGTCCTCCATGAAAAGACCGAGCTCACCATCGCCTCACCCAAGGGTGGTGAGGCTCCCCTCGACCCCTCCTCCGTCCAGATGTTCGCAAGCGACCCCGTGTCATCGAAGTTCCTGAAAGAGCAGGAATCGCTCTGGAAGAACACTGAGAAGCTGGCCGATTTCCTGCCTCGCGTCTCTGAGTTTGATGCCATCTTTTATGTCGGTGGTCATGGACGTAAGGGATTTCTAGTCTCGCATTGACAATTGGCCCTTGGACTGACCTGTATAGCCATGTTCGATCTCCACTACGATGAGACCTCCCTCGCCCTCATTCAGGCTTTCGCTACCGCCGGAAAGCCCGTCTCCGCCGTCTGCCACGGCCCGACCGTGTTCCTCAAGGCGACCACCAAGGCTGGGCAGCCTTTGCTCGCGAACTCCACCGTTACTGCTTTCACGAACGTCGAGGAGGATCAGGTGCAATTGACCGCACTCATGCCTTACCTGGTGGAGGATGAGGTGAACAAGATTCCTGGAGCCACATTTGTCAAGGCCGACCAGCCATGGGTAGAGAAGGTGGTTGTTTCCAAGACCGCCGATGGTGCCACTTTGATTACCGGTCAGAACCCGGCTAGTGCGACCGGCGTTGGAAAGGAGATTCTGAAGGCTCTGGGGCTCTAATTCAAAAGTGTCCACTGTTCATGACATGTATGGTTGTTATGAGAATAAATGATTATCTTTATCTAACTAGATTATTTTCTTTCTGATTTCCGCCGGTCTCCGCCGGCCGCAATGTATATCTGACACGCTGAGCAGCACACTTACAGTGCCGATCGTATCTCCTATGTGTGTACCAACGAATCAGTGTTTCCCAATGTCGATCGTGGTCTTCAACCGCCGGAGATACGAGGATGGGCCGACTGATAAGAACCCCGCCTGAATATCCTGCAGACCCACTATTTGGGGGGATGACAGGTCCTGTTTAAGGTACTGAAATAGCCAAGACTTCAACAGCAGCCAAAGGCGTTGCGGCAATGCAACGTATGTACATCTTCATTGCACCAGCCCACGCACGCCAAGGCTCCACTCAACCACATGTGTTTCTGACTAGCTTAGCTATGTTACACCGGCATATGAAGAGGTATGCAAGGGATGGCGTTGTACACCTAGCGGCAGTCAGATATTAAATAAATAGGTTACTCCGCACGGTGTTTTGTCCGCTGTGCATCCGTTCGTCTTCAATTCCTCTGGCCAGCCTGTCATGGTCCAATTCGCTATGTTGGCCCTCTTGGCCCTCCCTCTCGTGAAGGCCATTCCTGCCCCGGCCCCAATTCCGACACCTCCGGGAGTCCCTTCGACAACGGCTGCTCAGAGCGAGCTGGCTGAGTTGACGGTCGCTGCCCAGGGTCCTCAGGATGGGTATGATCGGGATCTGTTCCCGCATTGGATCAGTCAGGGCCAGTATGTATTGTCATTTGTCTGGCGGGTTGTCGTGTGTCTAATGTTTCTCGAAGTTCATGCGACACGCGTGAAGTTGTCCTCGCCCGTGACGGGACGGACATTGTGAAGAACTCCGCTTGCTCTCCTACTAGTGGATCTTGGCTATCTCCGTATGACGGTAAGACCTGGACAGACAAGAGCGATCTGGACATCGATCATGTTGTTCCACTTTCCAACGCCTGGAAGGTAAGTCTAAAATCCTCATTCGTTTACAGGGAATCTGATCTGATTCTGATTGACCATAGAGTGGAGCGTCGGAGTGGACCACCGACCAGCGTCAGATCCTGGCCAATGACTTGGAGAATCCCCAGCTTGTCGCAGTAACGAGCTCGGTCAACAGGCAGAAGAGCGATGATGGACCGGAGGATTGGAAGCCTCCTTTGGGTGAGTTCGTCTGCGATTTTATTAGGTCGCTTGCTAACTTGGCAGCCTCGTATCATTGCACCTATGCGAAGATGTGGGTTAGGGTCAAGTCGGTGTATAATTTGACCATCACACAGAATGAGAAGAGTGCGCTTGTTGGTATGCTTGATACGTGTTAGCTATGCTGGACCTAGCTTTAGAGTTACAGGTCGTCTGTCAAGCGTGGTACAACTTGAAGAAAAAATGGATATCGATGCATTCTTTGTACATACAGCAAACTCAGAAGTCTTCGCTTGCAACTAAATAAACGATTAAGGTTATCAGGGGTGCGCAGAGTGCCCACCTAGTCCAGCATTATATTGTGGGCCAGCATTAGGTGCCGGCTTAACCTCGGCCATCTGAGTATCTGCAAGCTCAGCAAACCCATAATCGCTAGGACTTGGCCCCATCGCCACGTTAGATCCAGTAGGGCTTTGATCAAATTGCCTATCACCTTGCGCCGCTTTAATCGTGTCCGTCAATACCTTCAACGAGTGATTATTAGTCCAGGCTTGCCCATTCAGGATCTCCTTGGCCGGCAACTTCCGGCCATAAAACACCTCATTCTCATCCATGCGCTCAATGACAATCGTCCCATCAATCTGCACACCAGCATAAAATCCCCGACTCTTGACATAGGTCCAAATAGGTGCCTGCCGCTTATGAACCTCCGACTCCAGCACACCTCCTACCCCAACCGGCCCAGCAGCAACACTTATCTCACTCCCAAGGGTGACCCGAACCTCCGTAAACGCCTCCAACGCCTCATAGGTATTAATCACCATCACACAATCATAGATATCCGCGCCAACCAGAAATCCCAAGCCAGCAGTATGCAACAGGATTCCAGACAGCCCACTCCACTCCCCCGTCTCAGGTACCCTCGCAATAAGAACACCACTGCCGCCTGCGCCACTGAACCATAACCTCGTTCTCATCGCCGTGAAGATCACCAAACCCTTCGCTTGCCGGATAGCCTCGGACGGGATCTTCTTCAACACTTTCGGCTTCCCTCGGGGCTTATTGTCGATCTGGTTCTTGGTCCCAGTAGCGGGCACGCTTTCTGTCGATTCTTCAACGTAGACACCATCCTTGAAGAAACTTCGGAGAATGCCAGCTGCCTTCTCGCTTTCCTTGTCGATTGTCATGGGCCAGAAGGCCTCCGACCCTAGTTTGTTGCTGAGTCGGTTCACGGGGTCGCCGAGTTTATCGAGGGCACCTCAGGCTTTGTCAAAGTTTTTCTTGCCGAAGACTTTTGTCTTGCCCCATATCGAGCTTTGGTTGTTTGGTTGGGACATGGTGGGGATGTGGCCGGTCTATTCTTGAAGTTGTCTAGGTTGAATGAAATTTTGTCAGAGTATTGTCCCTGCACAGAGATCCAGGTGTGAATGAGAAAGGCTAGCTGGCTACTATTAAATTTTTCAAATTACAAAGTTTCACAGGTTCAAGAATCATGTCAATAATAAGAGCGAATACGAATTCTAGGCAGCAGAGATCGACCGGGAACGGACGACATCATTGCGGGGCATCGTTTTCTGGCTCGACAGCTAAGCATTTCGCATGGACTATTGATTGGTGAAGACCTGGCTCCATGCAAAGCTTTGTCCGACTGTGGCTGTTCTGTCTCCACTTCCGACGGACCTATCTTGCCCGATCAGGTAGTTTTTCGTATCCCCCGATCTATAACATGTGTTTTATGGCCAGTCCAGTGAGAAGTGTGACTACTAGTCCCATATTCGGTGCTTGAAGTATATGTGCTTTAGGGTTATCGTACAGCAGCATCTTGGACAACTGGCCGGCGAGAGGTACATATATGGCTATTCCAAGAAGCTGCACGATTTCCATAGATCGACCATTCAATGTCAAACAATCCGCAAGATAAAAACAACCTCTATGGCTGTGAACTCGTTGGCAACGGAAGCTTCCGATGAAGTCGAGACACAATCTCCGTATAATCCTCCTCCTCCTCAGCCGTAACAATACCATGTCGAACGAAGAAATCCACCAAAACACTGGCACTAGCCGGCTTAAACCTACCCTCCAGCATAGCCCTCTTCACCTCCTCCGTACCCATCAAATGAAACGCATAAACATCATCATCCACCACCTTGAAAACCACCTCCGGGCCCACCTCAAGATCATAAACATACAACACTCCTGGATTGAT